CTGTTGAGACTTAGGTCCCATTCCCACGATATCTCATTAGGTATACATGCAAATATTCCAAAATCTGAAAATATCAAAAATTTCAAACACTTCTGGCTCCCAACATTTTGGATAAGGGAGACTCAATCCTATATTCATGGCAGGAATGGGTTCTGGATTTCTTGGATTATACAATGTTGCCAGAATTAGAAGTTCTATTCCTAACTGTTCAAGGATTACACAGACACTTTTGAAAGTCCCTTAAGAACTATGGATCCGCTCCCAGAATAATAGCCATATATGCAAATTTTAATCTAGAATTTCTGGGGTTCATAAACTCCAAGTTAAGCATATATGGCTGTAAGTTATGGCATTTAGTTGTTACTAGGCAAAAATCATTTTCCAGATATATATTTGAAATCTTCCATAATGAAGAGTTAAAAATTATACACACACAAACACATATACACACACAGCGGTCACTTTCCTATTAAAAATGCCTCAATGCAGGAGAACGGTGTGAACCCGGGAGGCGGAGCTTGCAGTGAGCTGAGATGCGGCCACTGCACTCCAGCCTGGGTGACAGAGCAATACTCCGTCTCAAAAAAAAAAAAAAAAATAGATAAAATAAAAATGCCTCAATGGCTTTTTACTGAACTCAGATTAAAATCCAAAGACCTCACCTAGGCCTACAAAGAAATGATCTGATTATCTCCCTGACTTAGGTCGTTAGTACCACTCTTTCCCTTGATCACACTATGCCAGGAACACATTTCTGTTTTTCTTAAAAAAAGTCCAGGCTCCATTCTGTCTTAGCACTTTTTCATTAACTGTTCTCTTATATCTCATATGTTTTTCCCTAGCACCATAATTCTCACACTTCACGTTTCAGTTTAAATTTCACCTTCTCAGAGATCTCTTCTGTGACTACCAATCTGAAATAATCTACCAGTCACTCTGTCACTCTTATTATTTGATATGTATTCTTGTTATTCACTGGCTTTTTGAATTTTCTACCTCCTCCACCACAATGAATTATAAAGACCAGGAAATAACTTTTTGTCTTGTTTACCACCAATTTTACAGTGCCAAAACACTATAATGCCTCAACCAGAGGAAGTAAACAATAAACATTTGTTGAGTAAAAATAACCTTGTAATCTTTGATAATCTAAGATGGCTGGACTGGATTCACCTACAACCTCTTCTGACTTGCCATGAGAATGAAGGAAAACAATAGGATAGAATCAAAAAAATAACAATGTATATATGCCTTGATACTGCATATTTTATGTTTTCATGATTAGAGAAATTCAAACAATCTAGAAAGAAGTGAACTACATCTGAAAGTTCACTAGCAAGCAATAACCACTATTGATATTTTGGTATATAAAGCTTTCAGAATTTTATTGATGAACAAATCTATTTTAAAAAGGCACTCCAGAACTGAAAAAAAGGCATTCCATGTCAATGAACATAACTCTTCAATATACCATGTTTTATTAGATCAAGCTCCTATTGATTGCCATGAATTTTTCACTAATATAAACAGTGCCACTGTGAACGGCCTTCCACATACATCTTTGTGCCCCTGTCTATTATTTACTTGGGAAAATTTCTTAAATGAGGAATTACTGCCTGAAAAGCATAGGCAAAATTCAAATTTTGATACATATTGTGAAACTATTCTTGAGTCATTTTTGTTTGATACATTTTTAAGAAATCCTCATTTTTTTCTAAAAACAATAGTAATATTTTATAATTTATGTGAGAGTTACAATGTATTTCTGATAATACAGAAAAGATCCTGGGGGAATCCTGCCAGAAAAGTTTTTAAAAATTACTAGATAATAATAAACAATAACATCCACAAACACCTTAAATGCTTGGATTGGCTTAGGAGAGAGAGAGATACCAAAATTTATGAAGACACAAGAACACACAGAGGTAAGTGAGCATAAAGACAATGGATGCTAATACTTTTTTATAAAAAATTATGATTATGATTATTTACAGAGACAGGGTCTCTTACTGGAGTGAAGTGGCATGATCATGGCTCACTGAAGCCTGGATCTCCTAGGCTCAAAGGACCTTCCTCCCTCAGTCTCCAAGTAGCTGGGACTACAGGTGTGCACCACCACGGCTGGTTAATTTTTGACAAATTTTTTGAGACATGGAATCTCATTTTGCTGCCCAGGCTGGTCTCAAACTCCTGGCTTCAAGCAATCCTCTTGCCTTGGCCTCCGAAAGCACTGAATTTACAGGCATGTGCTACCATGCCCACCCCAAGAATCTCCTAATTCTTGATGGCCTAAAACCTGCAAGCAGGAGGAAAGCATCTAAGGCCTAATACAGGGAGGCAGGATTAAATCACCCAAACAATGCTGGAACCTCATAGTGAACACTTTCAGTAAAATGGTAAACTAAGAACAAAGTCCTACAGATGTTACAGAATATGTCTTCCTTAGGTCTGGGTGGAAGAAAAAATATTTTTCCTGAGAGTGTATAACTATAACAATAGGTACAATAGTTTTATAGCCTGAAAAATCACAATCTGGGAATTTAGTTCCAGTAGTTCCTGATGTCTAAGAAACATACATATGTAAATCTTTTCCAAAGGTTTCATATAGTAGCTTCAAAATTCACAAAGATAAAATTCCATTTTTTCATTAAAGTATAATTTTATTTTTAAATTTTTTAAATTTTTATTTCTTGAGATGGAGTTTCACTCTTGTCGCCCAAACTGGAGTGCAATGGCATTATCTCGGCTCACTGCAACCCCTGCCTCCTGGGTTCAAGAGATTCTCCTGCCTCAGCCTTCCAAGTAGCTGGGATTACAGGCCAATGCCACCATGCCTATGTAATTTTTGTATTTTTAGTAGAGACGGTGCTTCACCATGTTGGCCAGCCTAGTCTCGAACTCCTGTCCTCAGGTGATCCACCTGCCTCGGCCTCCCAAAGTGCTGAGATTACTTACAGGCATGAGCCATGGCGCCAGGCCGAAAGTATAATTAAAAAAAAAATCACAACATATGAGGGAATATGACATCATAAGCAAAAGTAAACATACATACAAACAAACAACAGATGTGACAACCAAAGACTGCAGCTACTGTATAGTTAGACATAGAATATGTTTAACATATTTAAGTTAAAAAGGTGAATCAAGAATAAGAGGAACAATATATTATAACAATACTAGGTAGACAATAACAAATTAGAAACTCAATGAATATGTGAAATAGCAGACGGTTGAAGAGAGTGAAGCAGAGAAACAATGTATAGGAGAAAGAGTTGAAAATGCAGCATAGATAGATAAGAAGATGCAAAATATGAAGGAGAAGCTTGAAAGACATGGAAGATGAGCGAGTCTGTCTATAAATATGTAATTGAACTGGTAACAGATAATAAAGAGAATTAAAGAGAGGCAATATTCAAAGTGATGCTAGCTGAGAATTTTGTAGAACCTAAAAAAGATATAAATCTGCAGATTTATGAAGCCTGAAAAATCCTAAATAGGCTAACATAAGAGAAATCAACACCTGGATACACCAAGGTGAAAATACAGAACATCAATAACAGGTAATATTTTCAAAAGCAGAAATAGTGAAAAGACAGATCATTACAAAATAAAGACAGAGCGACAGTTGAGTTCTCAAAATAGCAACAACAGAAACCAGAAAAAATAAAAATAAGAGCTTCAAAAATCTTAGAGACAATAACTGTGACCCTAGAATTATATACCTAATAAAATTCTTTTTAAAAAATGAGGGCAAAATATTTTCAGAAAAATTAAAAAATGAGAGTTTTCTCTCAACCTATACAAAAAGAACATTTAAAGGGGTTAGAGAAAAGGGAAAATGACCCCCCAAAATGTCAGAAATGCAAAATAGACCAATGAATAAAGAATATGGTAAACGTGCAAATCTAAACTATCATTGACTACAAGATTATAATAATTCCTAATTTATAAAACTAAACAAAGATATTAATAATTCATAATTTGTAAGACTACACAGAGATAGGCCAAAACCAAAATATTGGACAATTATAGATACATAAATTGAGAAGAGGGTGATCAGAATTAATGTATTGTAGGGCTTTGTATGTACAAAGGAATTCTGATTAACTTTAGACTTTTAAGTTAAATGTGCATGTTAAAATCTTAAGGAAATCACTAAAAGAATAGCAAGAGAAGACAATTTTCAAACAAGTTGGAGGTAAAAAGTAAAATGCAAAAGCAATTAATCAAATAATCAAATATAATCAAACCAAAAGAATACAACAAAAAGGGGAATAAAAGAAGTGATAAAAAAGAGAACAAAAAGAAATTTAAAAAATAAGATGGTAGAAATACATCAAACTATTTTATAATTAGAATAAATTTAAAGTATATGAAGCAATGAGAACTCTTACATAAGACTAGTAGGAATGATAATTGAGAAAACTACTTTAGAAAACAATTAAGTAATCCAAGAATTATTTTTTCAGCATATACAATGAGCCAAACATTTTTGTAGGAGCTGAAAAAACAGAGCAAAAATTTTAACAACACCTCACATAAACTGAAAATAAACTCGGGTTACCCTCTTTGGGTCCCCTCCCTTTGTATGGGAGCTCTGTTTTCACTTTATTAAATCTTACAACTGCACTCCTTTGGTCCATGTTTGTTACGGCTCAAGCTGAGCTTTTGCTCGCCATCCACCACTGCTGCTTGCTGCCATTGCAGACACACCACTGACTTCCATCCCTCCCAATCTGGCAGGGTGTCCGCTGTGCTCCTGATCCAGCAAGGTGCCCACTGCTGCTCCTGATCGGGCTAAAGGTTTGCCATTGTTCCTGCATGGCTAAGAGCCCGGGTTTGTCCTAATCGAGTTGAACACTGGTCACTGGGATCCACGGTTCTCTTCCGTGACCCACGGCTTCTAATAGAGCTAAAACACTCACTGCATGGCCCAAGATTCCATTCCTTGGAATCCATGAGGCCAAGAACCCCAGGTCAGAGAACACGAGGCTTGCCACCATCTTGGAAGCAGCCTGCCACCATCTTGGGAGCTCTGGGAGCAAGGACCTGGTAACATTTTGGAGACCATGAAGGGACTTCCAAAGCGGTGAGTAATATTGGACCACTTTCACTTGCTATTCTGTCCTATCCTTCCTTAGAATTGGAGGAAAATACCGGGCACCTGTCGGCTGGTTAAAAACGATTAGCACGGCCACCGGACTTAAGACTCAGGTGTGAGACTGTCTGGGGAAGGGCTTTCTAACAACCCCCAACCCTTCTGGGTTGGGAGCATTCATCTGCCTAGAACCAGCTTCCGCTTTCAATTTCCTTGGGGAAGCCGAGGGCTGACTAGAGGCAGAAAGCTGTCGTCCCAAACTCCCGGCGTTAGCTGGTTGAGATCACTGTGCAGCCAGAAGTCTCTACTCAACAGTCACTCATGCGTGTGCCCCTACCTTTCTTTGTGACCCATACCTTCTGGGTCCCGACCATGACTTTCTTGAAAGTGTAGCCCCAAAATTCTCCTTACCTCTGAATCTACTTCCTCTGATCCCTGCCTCCTAGGTACTGATGCTTCAGACTTTCATTTCCTCTAGCAAGTTGTATCTCCAAAGCGAGCTAAGGAAGTTCTACATGTGAGCATCCTTAGGCAGCTAGTCTTGTCCCTGGTGTCCCTCCCAATTTAGGCATACAGCTCTTCACATGGGCAGTTATGTGGGACCTGTTCCCCACCACCCTTGCCAGGGCCCCAAGTTTGTAAATGGTTAAGAGAAAAGAGACAGAGAGACAGACAGAGAGACAGAGAGGCGAGAGACAGAGGCAGAGAGCGAGACAGGTAGAGAGGCGAAAGAAGCAGAGGAGAAACAGGCAGAGAGGAGAAAAAGGGAGTCAGAGAGAGAAAGAAAAAGACAGGAATAGTAAAAAACAAACAAACAAAAAACAAAAAACAAAAAACAAAACAGTGTGCCGTATTCCTTTAAAAGCCAGGGTAAATTTAAAACCTATAATTGATAATTGAAGGTCTTCTCCCTGACCCTGTAACACTCCAATACTACCTTGTTGTCAGTATAAACAAGGGCGTAGGCTGAAAACACTGAGATCACTGACAAACCGTAGCCTTCCTATCAAAAATCCTTAACCCAGTAACCCGGAGATGGCCCAAATGCATTCAATCTGTAGTGGCAACTGCTTTGCTAACAGAAGAAAGTAGAAAAGTAACTTTTAGAGGAAACCTCGTTGTGAGCACACCTCACCAGTTCAGAATTATTCTAAGTCCAAAAAGCAAAAAGGTAGCTTACTAACTCAAAAATCTTAAAGTATAGGGCTATTCTGTTAGAAAAACGTAATTTAACACTAACCACTGATAATTCCCTTAACCCAGCAGATTTCCTTACAGGGGATTTAAATCTTAATTACCATACGAAGGTCCAACCAGACCTAGGAGGAACTCCCTTCAGGATGACAGATGGTTCCTCCGAGGTGATTGAGGAAAAAACCACAATGAGCATTCAGTAATTGATAGGGAGACTCTTGTGGAAGCAGAGTTAGAAAAATAGCCTAATAATTGGTCTCCTCAAACTTACAAGCTGTTTGCACTCAGCCAAGCCTTAAAGTACTTATAGAATCAAAAAGACTATCTCAATCCTGACTCCAAAGGTTACCTACACCCTCTCTGAAACGAATTTGCATAAGAATTGTTTATGGTAATGCATCTTGATGGCACAGCTGGGTTGTTATGAAATACTCAGGAACCCAGTCCAGCTCTAGGACTCGCCCTCGAGCACAAAGGCAATGTTGGGCATGCTGGTAAAGGACTAGAATCCAGCAGCCCAGACCCCTTTCTTTGTGGTCAAGGAAGGCGGGAAAACAGGTGCAGGACTGCTACATCGGTGGGTGTAACTAATCCGATAAGCAGAGGCCCATGGGTGGTGATGCACCCTGGAAAGGAATAAGCATTAGGATCATAGAGGACGCTCTAGGACTAATGCTCATCGGAAAATGACTAGGGGTGCTGGCATCCCTATGTTCTTTTTTCAGATAGGAAATGTTCCCCTCAAGGCAAAAATGCCCCTAAGATGTATTCTGAAGAACTGGGACCAATTTGACCCTGAGACACTAAGAAAGAAACGACTTACATTCTTCTGCAGTACAGCCTGGCCACGATATCTTCTTCAAGGAGGAGAAACCTGGCTGCCTGAGAGAAGTATAAATTATAACACCATCTTACAGCTAGACCTCTTTTGTAGAAAAGAAGGCAAATGGAGTCAAGTGCCATATGTACAAACTTTCTTTTCATTAAAAGACAACTCGCAATTATGTAAAAAGTGTGATTTATGCCCTACAGGAAGCCCTCAGAGTCTACCTCCCTACCCCAGCGTCCCCCCAACTCCTTCCTCAACTAATAAGGAACCCCCTTCAACCCAAACAGTCCAAAAGGAGATAGACAAAGGGGTAAACAATGAACCCAAGAGTGCCAGTATTCCCTGATTATGCCCCCTCCAAGCAGTGGGAGGAGGAGAATTTGGCCCAGCCAGAGTGCATGTACCTTTTTCTCTCTCAGACTTGAAGCAAATTAAAATAGACCTAGGTAAATTCTCAGATAACCCTGATGGCTATATTGATGTTTTACAAGGGTTAGGGCAATCCTTTGATCTAACATGGAGACATATAATGTTACTGCCAAATCAGACATTAACCCCAAATGAGAGAAGTGCCGCCATAACTGCAGCCCGAGAGTTTGGCGGTCTCTGGTATCTCAGTCAGGTCAATGACAGGATGACAACAGAGGAAAGAGAACGATTCCCCACAGGCCAGCAGGCAGTTCCCAGCGTAGACCCTCATTGCGACACAGAATCAGAACATGGAGATTGGTGCCGCAGATATTTGCTAACTTGCGTGCTAGAAGGACTAAGGATAACTAGGAAGAAGCCTATGAATTATTCAGTGATGTCCACTATAACACAGGGAAAGGAAGAAAATCCTACCACCTTTCTGGAGAGACTAAGGGAGGCATTGAGGAAGCATACCTCCCTGTCACCTGACTCTACTGAAGGCCAACTAATCTTACAGGATAAGTTTATCACTCAGTCAGCTGCAGACATTAGAAAAAACTTCAAAAGTCCGCCTTAGGCCCGGAGCAAAACTTAGAAACCCTATTGAACTTGGCAACTTCGGTTTTTTACATTAAAGATCAGGAGGAGCAGGCGAAACGGGACAAACTGGATAAAAAAAAAAAAAAGGCCACCACTTCAGTCATGGCCCTCAGGCAAGCAGACTTTGGAGGCTCTGGAAAAGGGAAAACCTGGGCAAATTGAATGCCTAATAGGGCTTGCTTCCAGTGCGGTCTACAAGGACACTTTAAAAAAGATTGTACAAGTAGAAATAAGCTGCCCCCCTGTCCATGGTCCTTATGTCAAGGGAATCACTGGAAGGCCAATTGTCTCAGGGGACAAAGGTCCTCTGAGTCAGAAGCCACTAACTAGATAATCCAGCAGCAGGACTGAAGGTGCCTGGGGCAAGTGCCAGCCCATGCCATCACCCTCACAGAGCCCCGGGTATGCTTGACTATTGAGGGCCAGGAGGTTAACTGCTTCCTGGACACTGGTGCGGCCTTCTCAGTCTTACTCTCCTGTCCTGGACAACTGTCCTCCAGATCTGTCGCTATCCGAGGGGTCCTAGGACAGCCAGTCACTAGATACTTCTCCCAGCCACTAAGTTGTGACTGGGGAGCTTTACTCTTTTCACATGCTTTTCCAATTATGCCTGAAAGCCCCACTCCCTTGTTAGGGAGAGACATTCTAGCAAAAGCAGGGGCCACTGTACACTTGAACATAGGAAAAGGAACACCCGTTTGTGGTCCCCTGCTTGAGGAAGGAATGAATCCTGAAGTCTGGGCAACAGAAGGACAATATGGACAAGCAAAGAATGCCCATCCTGTTCAAATTAAACTAAAGGATTCCGCCTCCTATACCCCAAAGGCAGTACCCCCTTAGACCCAAGGCCCAACAAAGATTCAAAAGAAACTGTTAAGGACCTAAAAGCCCAAGGTCTAGTAAAACCATGCAATATCCCCTGTAATACTCCAATTTTAGGAGTACAGAAACCCAACGGACAGTGGAAGTTAGTGCAAGATCTCAGGATTATCAATGAGGCCATTGTCCCTCTATACCCAGCTGTACCTAACCCTTATACTCTGCTTTCCCAAATACCAGAGGAAGCAGAGTAGTTTACAGTCCTGGACCTTAAAGATGCATTTTTCTGCATTCCTATACATCCTGACTCTCAATTCTTGTTTCCCTTTGAAGATCCTTAGAACCCAGTGTCTCAACTCACCTGTACTGTTTTATCCCGAGGGTTCAGGGATAGCCTCCATCTATTTGGCCAGGCATTAGCCCAAGACTTGAGCCAGTTCTCACACCTGGACATGATTATCCTTCCATATATGGATGATTTACTTTTAGCCGTCTGTTCAGAAACCGTGTGCCATCAAGCCACCCAAGCGCTCTTAAATTTCCCTATACCGCCTTATCCTCATCTCAAAACCCTAAAGCAACTAAGAGGGTTCCTTGGCATAACAGGCTTCTGCTGAATATGGATTCCTAGGTACGGTGAAATAGCAAGGCCATTATATTCAGTAATTAAGGAAACTCAGAAAGCCAATACCCATTTAGTAAGATGGACACCTGAAGCAGAAGTGGCTTTCCAGACCCTAAAGAAGGCCTTAACCCAAGCCCCAGTGTTAAGTTTGCCAACAGGGCAAGACTTTTCTTTATATGTCACAGAAAAAAACAAATAGCTCTAGGAGTCCTTAAACAGGTCCAAGGGATGAGCTTGCAACCCGTGGCATACCTGAGTAAGGAAATTGATGTAGTGGCAAAGGGTTGGCCTCATTGTTTACGGGAAGGGGTGGCAGTAGCAGTCTTAGTATCTGAAGCAGTTAAAATAATACAGAGAAGAGATCTTACTGTGTGGACATCTCATGATGTGAACAGCATACTCACTGCTAAAGGAGACTTGTGGCTGTCAGACAACCATTCACTTAAATATCAGGCTCTATTACTTGAAAGGCCAGTGCTGCAACTGCGCACTTGTGCAACTCTTAACCCAGCCACATTTCTTCCAGACAATGAAGAAAAGATAGAATAACTATCAAAAAACAATTGCTCAAACCTACGCCACTGGAGGGGACCTTCTAGAGGTTCCCTTGACTGATCCCGACCTCAACTTGTATACTGATGCAAGTTCCTTTGTAGAAAAAGAACTTCAGAAAGCGGGGTATGCAGTGGTCAGTGATAATAGAATACTTGAAAGTAACCCCCTCACTCCAGGAACTAGTGCTCAGCTGGCAGAACTAATAGCCCTCACTCGGGCACTAAAATTAGGAGAAAGAAAAAGGGTAAATATATATACAGACTCTAAGTATGCTTACCTAGTCCTCCATGCCCATGAGGCAATATGGAGAGAAAGGGAATTCCTAATTTCTGAGGGAACACCTATCAAACATCAGGAAGCCATCAGGAGATTATTATTGGCTATACAGAAACCTAAAGAGGTGGCAGTCTTACACAGCTGGGGTCATCAGAAAGGAAAGGGAAATAAAAGGGAACAGCCAAACAGATATTGAAGCAAAAAGAGCCACAAGGCAGGATCCTCCATTAGAAATGCTTATAGAAGGACCCCTAGTATGGGGTCATCCCCTCTGGGAAACCAAGCCCCAGTACTCAGAAGAAGAAATAGAATGGGGAACCTCACGAGGACACAGTTTCCTCCCCTCAGGGTGGCTAGCCACCGAAGAAGGAAAAATACTTTCACCTGCAGCTAACCAATGGCACACTGTGAAGTGTGCCAAAGAAATAATCCCCTGCACTGCAGGTTATACATTTCAATCCCTGTATCTTTAACCTTCTTGTTAAGTTTGTCTCTTCCAGAATCGAAGCTGTAAAACTACAAATGGTTCTTCAAATGGAGCCCCTGATGCAGTCCATGACTAAGATCTACCACAGACCCCTGGACAGGCCTGCTAGCCCATACTCCGATGTTAATGACATCGAAGGCAACCCTCCCGAGGAAATCTCAACTGCACAACCCCTACTACACCCCAATTCAGCAGGAAGCAGTTAGAGCGGTCGTCAGCCAACCTCCCCAACAGCACTTGGGTTTTCCTGTTGAGAGGGGGACTGAGGGACAGGAATAGCTGGATTTCCTAGGCCGACTAAGAATCCCTAATTCTAGCTAATCCCTAATTCTAGGAAGGCGACCGCATTCACCTTTAAAAACAGGGCTTGCAACTTAGCTCACACCCGACCAATCAGGTAGTAAAGAAAGCTCACTAAAATGCTAATTCGGCAAAAACAGGAGGTAAAGAAATAGCCAATCATCTGTCATCTGAGAGTACAGCAGGAGGGACAATGATCGGGATATAAACCCAGGCATTCAAGCTGCCAACGGCTATCCTCTTTGGGTCCCCTCCCTTTCTATGGGAGCTCTGTTTTCACTCTATTAAATCTTGCAACTGCCAAAAAAAAAAAAAAAAAAAAGGGAAGAAAAAGAAAAGAAAATAAACTCTTTGATCCCACAATATTTAAAATAAGTGAAAATTTTAAAAAAATACAGAAATGACGAACTCAAAATTTCCCCTCTTTTGGGGACAGGTACATATGATCAAGAAGAAATACATTAGCAACGTCAAAGGTTCTGATTCTTAAGTTGGGTGATGGGTAAATATGTGTTTGCTTTATTATTCTTTAAACTGTATGTGTATAATACATTCTTGTACAGGATGAATGTTTTAATATAAAGAAATAAAAAAATTTTATAAAAATAATGCAAATAGTCTGTCACAGAAGGTGCTCAATATATGGTAATTTTTACATAAGTAATAATAAAATTACATAATGCAATTAACTACAGTGTACACTGATCTAGAGCTAAGCTTAGTAATAAATGAGTTTTGTTGAAAGTTCACACTAGATGAATACCACATGTCATGTTAGGTAAGCTCTTACATTTAAGTTGGAAGTAACATGTTTTATCAAAAAGTAGGTCTCATATGTAAGCACAGTATGTATGGGGAAAAAAGTAAAATAAATTGGTTCCAATAATTTATTAAATGACTAAGGTCATCTTTTAACCTGAAGCAAAAATAAAAGTTTGTTAATTAGACAAATAAATGTACTGAAGTTTTTCTGATGTCTGAATGATGAATTTTAAAAATTACTTTGTTACAATATTAGTCACACACCTTTCAGCCTAATACAAAGAACATTTCATTAACATTGGGTATGTCATTGCTCTCTACAGTTTTCTTGAAATGTTACAGAAATGGCAAGAGGTAAAAGTAAATACCAGTGAAATGGCATCCATATCCCAAAGCATCTTCCATAGGTATAAATATACGGATAATGCAGAGGCACGATATTTGGATTTCAAGCCAAGCAATAAATTGTATCCCTATTTGCTAAGTTTATAATGCATATTTTTAAGTTTAATATTAGGATCAAATGAGACATATCCTATTCATATTTTGATACAATGTATCACTACAAATAACTATGCTGAAATAACATTAAAATATCTGTATATTAAATCATTCTCAGAGTATTCATAGAAAGAGACAAATGTAAATCCATTTTATGGACAAGGAATTAAATAACTAGTTCAGTGTTATAAATTTCTCTACTTAAACCAATAAAATATAAAAGACTTCATGACAATGCCACATGTATATATACATATGTCTGAACATACATGTTTGTCATGTATGCGTGTGTGTGTGTATATATATATGACATTGTCTTGACAGGTAATTTCCTTAATCAAATTCTAACCTCTCTGCTTTCCTTAAAAATTGTACCAGGTAGGCTAATTACTTAATAAATTCATAATTAGCAAACATCCTTTCCTTGTGAAATTTTATTAAAACACCAGTTTTCGAGCTGCCACATGTAATGTTTATAGAAGATGAAAAATATATACTAATTTATTTTATTTTAAATACCTGATCATATTGGCCATATTTATTACTGAATAGGAATATGTTAAAACGTAATGGACAATAAAGTTGAATCTGTCTACAAAGTAGCAACCAAGAGAAGGACCTATTTCAAGCTGAGGTGATACTGATATTATGACATTAATATGTAACTATGCAAAACAAGAAGAGTAGCTCAAGAAATAATTTGGGTGGATAGACGCTAATGTAGATTTTAGGAAAAAAGTTATTAAGATAAATATAATTTCAGATTCTAAAAAAAAGAATGCTCTACTAAGTAAAATTAACAAGTCTATCTTGATTAAGAGCAGAGGCAGAATTTATATCAAATGTGGGTTTCTTTGATGTAAAACTGGCATTTTACTTTTCCACAAAAATAATTTGTTTAGGCTTAAAGTGGAACCAAAACTGGAATTCGGATTTAATGGCCAAGCAACTCATATTTCTCAGAATCAATACAAATTTTGATTTTCATACCTCTAAGAATATTAATCAGGTTAAAAATAATATCATGTGCTAGAAAAATTTAAGTAAAATAACAAAGTCTGTCAGGTAAAGCAATTAGCTGGATAAATTTCTCCTTATCCAGAAGAATGAACATCTTGGATGTTCAGAAATGTATACTAAATCAATATCATTGAATAATTATTCATTTTTAGAAATGTAACAGTCATGCTTTTAAACTTCAAACACTCTATTTTTGAAAATGTTACTATTAACTGATTGCAGACCAAGCGTTAGCCAGAACTTACATTTTAGCCACAAACAGAAACACATGTTACAAAAGATACTCAGGATTTTGAAAGTATAAAGGAAACATCTCAAGTATCTAATTAACTGGAAAATTTTATGGAGCACAAACCAGCTATTTAAACACTAATAGGTACTACAGGGTCTGTGGTGAAGACACTTATAATTTCATTGATAAAACAAGATATTGAAAAGATTACAGGGCACCAAAAAGTGAAGGTAAGTGCTATTAATGTGCAAAAGAAGGTAATGTGGGTCTGAACTATAAGAGTTAGCAAAGTCTGAATGAAGGAGATGGAATTGAATGACAAAATCCAGGACATCCTGCCTCAAAGTACGGCACTTTGGTGTTTAAGAAAATGGCAGAAGCAGGAAGGTCTTTCTTACCTTCTCTCACCTTTTCTCCCCTGAAGTGGGCCATAAAACCCAGCTGATCCTCCCCTAAAAGCAGATTAAAAGACCCTCATTCCAGAGAGGTCCTCCCTATACCCAGAGGAAAGGAAGTATCTTCAACTCTGAAGACACAGAGATGTTAGGAATCTGAACAACCAGGCCTTGCTATGCTCCCCCCAGTTTATTACCATTAGATTACACCCTTTTGTGCTCCAACTACACTTTTGTATGACTGTTCATAAAAATACAGTTTTCCCTGTTTCTTTGGGTTTTCATTTCTGAAGGTTCTCATGTCATGTAAAACATACATTAAATAAATCTGCATGCTATTTTCTTGTTAATCTGTCTTTTGTTATAGGTGTTTGGGCCATGAATCTACCGATGGGTGAGAAATCTTTTCTCCCCTGTGTGAGTTAGAATTTAGGTAAGATTTAAATTGGCAATGAGAAAGGACTATCATAGGACCAAGCAAAGGTATGGATATAGGAATAAACAGACGGTGTACTTTATTTTAGCTATGCATTTTTATACTCTTCCTAAAATGTAAAAATGCTTTATCCTTAAAAACTGACAGGAAGGTAGAGGTTGTGGACTTTCAGCAGTATATCCATTTTACATTAAAAAAAAAAAAAAAAAGTGGCTTATTTTTCCCTTCAGATCCCTGGTAACCTGATAAGAAATGCTTCTGAGTGCTTTTCTGCCTTTACTTTTTCTTTTTTAATTATCTTAAGTTTCTTTTACATCAGAGTCTCAATGTTCCACTTTCCCCAGGACTATTTTTTAGTGCTTTAGTATATTGCCACCATCTTTCTATTTAGTAGACATCTGACTATTTTGTTCTTTAAAATTTTGTTTCTCTTTACTTAAAAAAATTGAATAATGGACTATTACTTGATTGCATTTATTGCCATTATCTATGAAGCCTCATCTACTTTGCCATAATTTGTTACATCTTTGCATACATTCTAGACTGTAAAAATCATATTTGTCTTATTCTCAGAGGAGAAAACTGTTTGATCCAAATGCCAATTTAATTATGAAAGATTTTATTTCTATTTTGTACTAGTGAACCAACATGAACTACCAAATTCAAATGTGAATTAAATAATTTAAATCCAAACTGCCATTCATTTAATTACAAATAAGTAACTTCAAGAAACTAATGACTCCAGTACTTTATCCTCTCAAAGAAGGAGAGTACTTCTTTCCTGTTTTTGTCTTACGGAAGAAAAATGAAAATTTAAAGGATTTACCATTTCCAGTTTCTCTGCCTTAAAGCGAACAGAGGGATTTAGGGAGATCTTTTCTTGTAGTCCATAATTTTCAGTCCAGGCAGAAGCAACATCTAAGAGACAACAGGGTGCACATTAATTGGGAACTTAATTGGAATAGAAATTTTCATTTGACAGGATATGTTCTGAGTTCCTGCTGTTCAAAAATAATTCTAGCTAATCAGTTGGCAGCTTTTAGTTTTGTTTTCGTAACTTTTTCTTTTTTTTTCCTTTTCTTTTCTTTTTTCTTTTGAGACGGAGTCTCACTCTGTCACCCAGGCTGGAGTGCAGTGGCGTGATCTTGGCTCAATGTCCGCCTCCCGCGTTCAAGCGATTCTCCTGCCTCAGCCTCCCGAGTAGCTGGGACTACAGGTGCATGCCACCACGCCTGGCTAATTTTTGTATTTTTAGTTAGAGACAGGGTTTCATTATGTTGGCCAGGCAGGTCTCAAACTCCTGACCTCAGGTGATCCGCCTCCCTCGGCCTCGCAAACTGCCGGGATTACAGGAGTGAGCCACCGCACCCGGCCAGTTTTCATAATTTTTTTAAGTCTAAATTTTTTATATAAGCTGTCTTCACTTAAGTCCTAAGATACAAGAGTAGCCAATTATGCATTGTGAAGTCCCAAAGATATATTAACTTAAAAGACAAACATACATCCCACCACTACTACATCACCACAATGCCTTAAAAAGATAAAAAGTCTTTTTGTTCAAAGATGTTGATATTTTTTCAAGTGGTAAAAGTGTTTTGTGATGTGAATTCTGGAAGTACTCTGGAAAAAAAACATAAATGCAAGTCATTTCAAGTTTGCACATAAAGTATTATATAGATTCTGTACTTTGAGCTAAAAATCTTATCTCTTAAAGACAGGTTACATTTCAAGTAGCATAAATGAATTTTCAAGAGCTAAAAGTCATACACTTCTTATCCATTTTCCTACATCTTCTCAATATACCCTGATTATTTAAACGAGCCTTTGTCCTTATTGCATGAATAAAAAAGATGCTACAAAAGACCAGAACTTGAAATACTGTATGTTTTAATATGCCAAAGTTTGTAAAACAGATTCCTGTAATTCATGTTGATCTTACTATCTAAATTGCCACTATTCTAAATACACTTTTAAATGATATTTTACTAGTTCTACATAGAAACAAGAGGAAGAAGAAAAATCTTTGGAAAATGTCACATCTTTATGCAGTGTTTTAATTTTTTAAAATTTCTCAGAGCATCTGTCTCTAAGTACAAAATGATTTGCATTCTCTTAAGAATATAAGAAGTGCATATGAAAATAAATAGTCTTCCTCTAAACCTTTAACACATCCTTAACATTCTATGTAAAATCTTTAATATAGCTTATAGGTGTCAAGATCATAAAAAAATGGATGCTGACTTTTAGCTTCAAATGGAATTAAACTTTGAAAAAGACTGATTTTAGTATTAAATAGAATTTTTACAATTCTGATAAAAGTAAGTGAATCTCCTTTGTAATCATACCTAATTGTTGGCTATGAAATTAAAAATAATATATACATAGTGTATATATATATACACACATACATACACATATATTCACATACATATGTGGGTATGCATATATATACACACACATATACACACATATACATATACACACATATGTGTATGTGTGTGTATATATACATATAATTTTTTTATACACATACATGTAATTTTTTTCCTCTCCTAAGAGAAATTCTATACCAAACCTAAAGTGTAGTATAAAGATCAGCATGGAGTGGAATGATATGGAAGACCAACCAGCAGATAACTTTATTTTTCATCCTTTAAGGTTTGGATATGTGAAGCTTGTCCAACGACTTCCAGCTTGGTGTTTGGCCTGCAATTAAGGCACATTAACACTAGGTGGACCCAAGTGAACCTGATTATGGTCTCAAAGACTAAACTTGGGCTTGAATTATTCATTTCAAGTGTTAAGTAATTGAAAGAGTTGCAGAGGGGAGAGCAAGGGGAAGAGAGGAGAATGAGAGAAGGTGAGACAGGAACACTTACAACATTGACATACTGAGGAATGTGTTCTCACGTTTTCCTACATCTAAGCATAAAAATTTGCTATATTGGCCGGGTGCAGTGGCTCATGCCTGTAATCCCAGCACTTCGGGAGGCCAAAGCGGGCGGATCATGAGGTCAGGAGATCGAGACCATCTTGACTAACACGGTGAAACCCCGTCTCTACTAAAAATACAAAAAATTAGCCAGGCGTGGTGGCGGGTGCCTGTAGTCCCAGCTACTGGGGAGGCTGAGGCAGGAGAATGGCGTGAACCCGGGAGGCAGAGCTTGCAGTGAGCTGAGATTGTGCCACTGCACTCCAGGCTGGGCGACAGAGAGAGACTCCGTTAAAAAAAAAAAAAATGCTATATCTAACAGTGAAAAGAACAGAAGCTCCTATCTTCTATCTAAACAGTAAACTATGTACCTATATAAGCTCATTAATCTTCACCGTGACCACAGATGTTATTATTCCCATCCCAAAGATAAAAGACCAAGGCAGGAAAAGGTAAAGAAATTAGCCTAGGTCACATAGCTAGTACATGATAATGTTAGGAGTCTAATCTCTTGTGACTCCAGACCAATGTTCTTAAATGTGTTCAACATCTTTAATAATGGGTTTGCTCATCTACAAAGTTGGAGGAATAAACCAGATTGCCTCATAGGAGTTAGAAGATCAACAATATCATAGAAAACTACTGTGAAAACGTATACAGTATTATTAATATCAACACAGAGACACTGTATTATAAGGAGATTCAATGTAAAATTATACTAACCTTCATTTAACAATATGCAATCAGGGCTTAACAAAATCTTTTTCCAGACAACTTACACTTTTACTTTTGAGTTAAAACCTTAAGAAGGTCTGTGTATAACTCCAGCATACTTCGTCAATTCAGAGTAGCTTTACCTGAAAGCCCCTCACAGACAGTTTTCCTCATCTGCCAATGACATCTCTCTATCCCAGCCCCAAGCTCTTTATTTGCTCCTCTCTGGGGGAGTGAGTTTTTCCAAGTATCGCTTATTATTCTCTTGGATCTCTCTCCTTCTTGTCCTTCTCCTTCTCCTCCTCCTTCCCTTTCCTCCTCCTTCTCCTTTCTTTAGAGACAGCGTCTTGGTCTTGCTCTGTCTCCCAGGCTGGAGTGCAGTATCCTGAACATAGCTCACTGCAACTTTGACCTCCTGGGCTCACGTGATCCTCCCACCTCAGATTCCCAAGTAGCTGGAACCACAGGTGCATGCCACCATGTCCAGCTAATTTTTTAATTTTTGTAGAAACAGGGTCTCACAATATTGCCCAAGCTGGTCTTGAACCCCTGGGCTCAAGTGATTTCTCCCATCTCGACCTTCCAAAGTGCTGAGATTATAGGTGTGAACCACCATGCCTGGCTCCTCTCAGATCTTCTGTTCCTATCCTCTTTGTAGCAGCAGAAGAAAAGGAATGTTTTGTAAGGAAAGGATCAATACAATTTACTTAATACCACGAACTCTGAATGGATATTTTTTCCCATAACTACTTTATTTCAGTTTCAAAAGACTTGGTCTAAAGGAATTAAGTCTTTACACTATTAGTAAAGTTAAAATAATGACTATTTCTTCATGCAACAATTCTTTTTTTTTTTTGAGATGGTGTCTCGCTCTGTTACCCAGGCTGGAGTGAAGTGGCATAATCTCAGCTCGCTGCAACCTCTGCCTTCCGGGTTTAAGCAATTCTCCTGCCTCAGCTTCCCGACTAGCTGGGACTTCAGGCATGTACCACCATGCCTGGCTAATTTCTTTTTTTTTTTGCATTTTTAGTAGAGATGAGGTTTTACTATGTTGGTCAGGCTGGTCTCGAACTTCTGACCTCAACTGATCTGCCCATCTCGGCCTCTCAAAGTGCTGGGATTACAGACGTGATATTCAACTTACATACGGCACTAGTGAACAACTCTGGATTTTGAAATAAATTTCTGTAATAGCATCATTTTTGAAAACATTTAAATATTATGTGGATTTTTAAAATTCTAACCAATTTTTACACTTTGGGATGATTTTTAGATAAGAACAGACATAGAACTATCTAATTACATTTACTTTTGTTGAGGTTAACATTAAAATTTGTTTATATTTTTTGAATTAGTATCAGGTAACTGAAGGAATCTAGAAGTGATGGTTAATTTCTGATTTGTAACCATCTATAATTAGGTACTTATAACATACAAATCACAATATATATAAATTATCTAGAGATAATTTAGAGGTGAATTTACCTTTTTTCCACTCCCCAGAAATATCTTGCCTATCACATTTATGTAGAAGAAAATGAGACTGAGTTGACACAATTTCTACTCTAGAAAAATGTTCCATCTTAATTGTATTTTAGTATTTACTTTACCTATAACTTACTTAAATATATTTTTCACTAACCTATTTTTCTACTACAAAATCTACCACTGTTCTTACAGCGACTGGTATAAATTTACCTGAGATTATTTACTGTTAACAAGATCTCTGTTCTAATCACACCTGACTCTTAGAGTCATCTGACCTCTAGTTCATCCTTAGTTCTTTCATTTGTGGTGCTTCCTTAACTTGAAACGATCTCCTGTGTTCAGTTATCAATTGATGTTTACCACGTTTTTCAAGATATGGATAATGTCTGACTTTTGACAAGAAATTTTTCTTAATTTCTGCATATTGTGACAGATTCCTTATTATATACTAGTTTTTGGGGTCAAGGGGAGGACATAAAATTGAATCAAGAATTGGAAGCTTTTCCTTCTGCTCTATAAACACGACCTAGAATATTATCTGAGCTATACTCTAAGCTATAGGTTCTGTATTATTAGTAACAGGAAAATTTAGTAGGCATATACTATGCACTAATTACAATATAAGTGCTTGACATGCATGATCTTGTTTAATCCTCATAACAACTCCGTGTAAACTTGTAACTCTTTCAAGGTTACAGAGTTAATAAGATGAAAGCAAGAACTTGAACACTGAGTCTGTATCCAGAGTCTGGTGGTAACCACTGTGCCTTCCTTATACCATACTCATAGCACTCACTACTTCTTTCCTTAGGCCTCTATGTTCATGTCTTTACATAATTTGTTTAAATGTGTTATTTATCCACAAGACAGAATGGTTTTTAGAGTAACAAAACCACCCACATCCTGCTCCGATTAACACAAAAAACTGCAAATAGTAGCTGCTTGATAAAATAAACATACACACACATCTATAAACAAACACATGCATATAAATTAGAATGTTTCCTAATTTGAATAATTAGAATTTTTAGCCCCATGTTTTATTTCACAATATACTATTAAGTATCTCACAGAAAATATCCTAATTTCTTCATAAATCCCATTGTACTGTATTCTATATAACACAGTAAATCCTTACTGAATAAAAGGTTAAAAGAGGCATTGAATAGTTTAATTACTTTAAAAGTTAAAAACATGTTATATAATTATTAATAATTTATAATATAATCAAGGAATAAAGGATTCTGACTTCCATCATCCAGCAATTTTGATGTTCATCTCATGACTGTTTCATTTGTCTTTTTCTTCTCATATGGGTTCCCAGTTTAAAATAAATATAGTACATCCAGAGACTGGAAATTAATTATGTAAGAGGAATAATACTATAAAGTTTCTAAGGGTCAATAAATCTAAGTAAAAGCAAATTTAACTCATGGCTGAAGATTGCTATTAACCCACTTGTAAATACCACCCCAAATCGGAGTAAACCACTGTGGAATATAGTATAAACTCCTGTAAAGATTGGTAGCTATTGGGCTGGGAGCAGTGGCTCATGCCTGTAATCCCAGCACTTTGGGAGGCTGAGGCAGGCAGATCACGAGGTCAGGAAATCAAGATCATCCTGGCTAACACAGTGAAACCCCATCTCTATTAAAAGTACAAAAAATTAGTTGGGCATGGTGGCGGGCACCTGTAATCCCAGCTACTCGGGAGGCTGAGCCAGGGGAATGGCGTAAACCCAGGAGGCAGAGCTTCGACAGAGCGAGAATCTGTCTCAAAAAAAAGATTGGTTGCTATTTAATTTAAATTAATGCTTCCTTATTTTTCTGTTCTTATATGAATAATGCTATTAAAACAAAACTAAAATATACAGGTAAAAATTTGCATTATAATTAGGCATATATAATTAGTTTTTCAGTTATGTTTAGTCTTTTTATCGTTGTGTTTAACTTTTGGAGATAATTTCAGGGGACTTTTTCTTGATATTGATCCTGTAAACACCTTACAGCCAAATAAAAATCCTTATTTTACACTTGGCTTAGATAATTAATGCTTTATTGTTTTAAAAAGTCAGTAAATCATTTTATGGTAATTAAGAATCAATAATAATGAATTAACAATACTGACATCCTTTCTGATTGATATCCATATGATTTCTTCCAAAAAAACAAGACACATTTCTTAAGGTATGCTCCCTTCTATAATGTGTTTTCTGAAAGGTGTATTTAATATGCCTCATCAGTATTGCACTAAAAGGACACGGCAACCTAATCTTGATCTTTATAGAAGACTTTTCATTATTTGATTTAAACAATTCATGAATTATTATAGCTTTATAAACACTGTTATGACAATGCATCTTTTGAAATTTCAACTCTTTGTCCAGGGAAATTTCTAATAAAAGTCATATTTTAACAGGGACCAACATAAAGACATTATTTTTACTTTTTCATTCACTGAAGGAACAAAGACATAATTCACCCTTCTTCGAAGTCTTAAGTCACATTACATACTCCTCATTGAGAGAGAATTGAAAAAAAAAAAAAAAACAGGAAAGAGAAATTAAACGTGTATTTACCTGTATTAGACAAACCCACAGAACAGTTTTCTGAAGAAGTAATTGGAATCTGTTCTGTTTTGTTGTATCCAGTTTTTATCTGTGAAAGAAAATGAGGAACATGCAATGTCATTTACTAAAGTAGGTCACTTGAAGCCCATGTTAACATAAAAAGAATGGTTACAGAGATTAAAGTAATTGTCCCTCAAACATGAACCCTCTAAAATTTTGGTATATGCATCTTCAAACAAAGCAATTCAGAATTAAAGGTAACAATTGCTTTCAGCTCTACCACATCCAAGGATAACAAAATATAAGGCCACACATGTTGTCTTTTAAAAGTATTATAGCTGCAAGTGACAAAGTATAAGGGGCTGACAGAAAATCGTATACTCTGTCTCTGTTCAGCATGTACCAGAGACTGAAGTTACCTTTGACGAATTTTATTCTACTGACTAAAAGCATAAGTTCCCTATTTTACAGCTAACACAGACATAAATAATACACACTTTATTCTATAACTGTAATTTGTTAGGACAGTATAGCAGTTAGTAATTGAGTATGTTAATTCTGATATAGAAATTGCCCATTTTGTGTGATTCTACTTGGGTGAACTATAGCACGCATGAAGGTACAATACCCTCTTAGACTGGATTAGCCTGGGATTAGCCTCACTGTGTGGGAAAGAAGCTAAGAACAAAAGGAAGATGGCCTGACTTCAGTTAAGCAGAGAACAGAAATGGCAAATAACTAAACCAACTGAAACTAAATATGATATTCCTAACATAGTTTTGAGTGATATCTAGGCATATCTTTGTGGAACTATTTCGTCATGCTGGTATTTTCTAACCCATCATGCTTCTGGCCACAGGACATGCTGACTTAAAATATGTTTATTGAAAACACAGCATCAAAATTTTAAATAGAAAAAAATAAAAAAAACTTTCAAAGAAATATTAATTTGTTAACAATTTTACTGAAATAATTCTATATGTATATAACCAATGTAAAAATGTATAGGGAATTTATGGAGTACATACATAAATTTAAGATTACCTGACTTACCTCACAAGAAGGTAAAATGGCATTATTTGTTTTGGGAGTGGATGAGGTCTTTGGGATTAGTATTTCAGGAGGAGAAGAAAAAAAACTAAATGTTGAGGCTTGAGGTCCATATTCTCCTGAAGCTTCTACAAGTGATGTACATGACAGATTTTCTGGCTGAATGTTGTCGGATTTTTGTCTGATGAATGCTATCTCCCAAGCAGATTCTGACCTAGTATTAAAAAGAAATCACTTTATGGATATGCTATGAATACAGTACAACTGAATTCCAAGATAATGTTTCAAATGTTATTAAAAAATATTTCTTATAAAGTACTTAACACATCTTAAATTACTGCTTCCAAGGAGATATCTTAAATGACTCATTCTATCCCATGGGTAGTATAGTTACCTCAACTTGGCTCTGGTAATTATGCTTTTTGCCTCTTCAAATGATACACCAATCATAGATTCCTTGTTGACTGAGACAAGTTGATCTCCTGGTTTCAAACGACCATCCTAACAAAAACAGTAACATTTATAAAGGAACTAATGAGGTATTTAAAAAAAATTGATGCAATTAAAGCAATGAAAAGTTTTTGTAAAGAACACCTTCAAAAAGAGTAAAAAGTAAAATCTTAGACAATCTCAGTAGCAAAATGTCTTGATTAAAGTCTGGTTTAGTAATATATATGAGTAAAATGGAATGGTTCATGCATTCCATGAATAAATTTACATGCTAAAGAATTCTGAATATGGCAGGTACAACATAGGCCAGTATACCAGGAAAAGGGACCTGTTTTAAAAACTGAGCACTATGAGGCTGATCATGCTCTGACTCTGTGATAAAGTGGGCCAAATAACTGTGGGATTATTTCAGAATACAAAACTCATTTACTTTAATTTCTCTGCATTCCTACATATTTCCTCCCACCAAACTGTTCAATGTGCAGTTATCCCACAATGAAATTTTTAAAACTTTAGTCAAGGGTCTTTTTTAAACAAAATTTTTAAATTTTCAAAATTTTTTGTAGAGATGAGGTCTCATAACATTGCCTAGGCTGGTCTCAAACTCCTGGGCTCAAGCCTAGGATCACCTCGGCCTCCCAAAGTTCCGGGATTACAGGTGAAAGCTACTGCGCCTGGCCAAGGATTTTAATTATATTGATCCTACCCGTATTTCAGCATCATCTTTTTTACTAGACCTGCGATTAAGGCCTAGTTGGCTGTGCATATATTGTTAGCCATGTCCTGCTAATAATGACAATTCTAACTGGCTGCCTGGTGTTGCCTTTGCTAAGGCCTGGCTTGCTCATAGCTAGCCTAACTGAATACGACAGAGCATATCAGGAACAAGAGTTAATGTAGTTGTTAGATAAGTTTCCCAGTTTTTGTCTTTTCTTTTCATTCAAACCAGAAAATAAAAATAAGCTTTCTTCTTTTACAGCTCCTAAGGTATTTCCCTATTTATCATTAATTAGTACAGTGGTAGAAACCATTATTTTTATAACTACAGAAAAAGCTTATATGGTTAAAAAGGGAGATTTTCACCTTGATGGTACTTAAGTAACTTTCACAAATTCAAGAAAACATCTTTCTTTAGTCTTATCTACTAAAATATATCCCTTGGATACTGATCTTTAATCTAAGCTGTATTATTTATAATAATGGTGATTCACAGTTATTTTACTCCTAAATAACAATAGGTATTATTTTTTAAAAAGACATGAAGTACTATCTCTTTCACCGACTAAAGAATACATAGGAAAACAACAAAATTGACATAAAACATTCATGAAAGGATTTTATAGAAACATATCTCAAATACTGTGTAAAAGATGATATAATCTAGATGCATAATGACCCTATCCTACTGAAAGGTAAACATTATTTAAAATACTTAAGCCAACAGAGTCAACTTATAAAACATATATAAGCCACAGTGGCTTACGTCTGTATACCCAACACTTTGGGAGGCTAAGGCAGAAAGATTGCTTGAGCCCAGGAGTTTGAGACCAGCCTGGGCAACATAGTTAGACCCCACCTTTCAAAAAAAAAAAAAAAATAGCTGGCACATGTCTGTAGTCTCAGTTACTCAGGAGGCTAAAGTGGGAGGATCACTTGAGCCCAGGAGGTCAAGGTCATGATTGCACCACTGCTCTCCAGCCTGGGCAACAAAGCAAAATTCTGCCTCAAAAAAAAAAAAAAAAAAAAAATATATATATATATATGTATATCATATATATGATGTACATATATCATATATATTTTTATTTTATATATAATTTGAAAACAAATTTTCATTTTATGTAAATATGTGATTAAATATAGTTAGCAAAGTCAGACAACATAACATGCAGTGTTAGTACAGAGAAAAAGTTCACATGAAGGCAATTTAACCCATCTTATATTAAAGTACGCTGATGTACTGAAGCAGCATTTTCTGGCAGGAAGAGAGTCATAGAAGAGAAGAAGAAGCATGCCTTCTGACTATGACTTCTGGTGTTTACATATTTTTTTCTTTCTAAAAAGTATTCATAGCAGTTAGTTTTTTTCTTTGCCTCCTAGAATAAGATCTCAGCTGATCATGTGAATTTCTGAACCTGTTTAAAAGTCAGAACCTGCAAATGAAAACAAAGCTATTTTTGTAAGTCTGGCATTCGAGTGCATTCTGCCCCAGCTGGATTAATGTATATGTGAAGATACTAACTTCAGAGATATGCTGAGATCTCTTCCACACAGTCTAGATTTCAATTCAGCAGTTACAGAGCAACTACCTGACATGCGAGGCAACGTGCCAAGCACTTTCATATGTTGAACTTCAGATCTGAATTCTTTCACATTGACATTCATGTAGATGTTGAAATAATAATATATTCCTGACCACGTAAACACTTCTGTTAAAAAAGACCAGTACTATTCATTTCTATATTATGACTTTGGTATATAGTTTTCTAAATAATACATTTCAATATTATCAGAAACCATCTATACAGCCTAATTCTGATTTAACTAACTCATTATACCTAATACTAAGGAACAGTCCTTCTGTAAGCCTTAAGATTCCTTTCCTATACTTTTACAAGATGTAGACTGACAGGAACCTTCTTTTAACTCCAGTTATTATTGTGAACTGAGGGAAGCTGTTTAGCTTTTATGAAACTCCATTTTCTTAGCCGTAGAATGGGGATAAATTTATGTAACACGAGGTTGCTATAAGAAGTAACATGTGTAAATTATAGCACATTATAGATGTTAAATAAGATGAGGTAAATGAGACTTCCATATCTGTTGTGGACAATTTTCATACTGATAGCAAATTTAATTATATTACTCATCAGATTGAGAAACTTCGATGGCTGCCAACTGGTAGGAAAAGTTGAAACTCCTCAGCATCCCAAACCCAGCACAACAAATTTACTGCAGCTTATTTTTTCTAGCTTCACCATTCACCTTCCACACCAGCATATAAATTCTTCATGCTACTCTCAGAGAATGTGCCTCAAATCAGCCATGGTCTTTCGAACCTCAATGTTTTTATACATGTGAATTCCCATCTAGAATGCCACCATCTACCCTCCAACTTCTCTGCGATAAACTCTGACTTAAACGTCACAGCCCAATTCAAACACTATCTCTGCTGCAAGTTTTCTGTAGTTCCCCAGGATTTACTTAATTGTTGTATCTTTTTGCTCAAAAAACACTTTTACTTACCTAAAGGATTGCACTTAATCTGTATGGTCCTTATGTTTACACATCCGCTTTTCCCTGCCTTCGCATTAGAATATACTAAATTAGCAACTCCCAATCTAGGGGCAATGATTCTTTTAGTGGGCCAGAATCACCGATTCTTTCAGTTAGGTAGAACTAGAACTCTGTCCTTTTCATGGTTATTTCCCTGGCACAGTGCTAGGTACACAGGAAGTCCACAGTAGGTTAAAGGGGGCCAAGAAACAGTCTGAGGATTTTAGGGTAGCTATGACAGAAATAATAATGGCAAAGGAATAAAGAGAGTGACACTGCAAAGGGAACCATCTTGGCTGCTACTTCTTCAGCTCCCACCAGTGGGACTGGTTGCTTCATAGTTTGCCATCCAGAGGCCTGATCCTGCTATTTATCTAAAAGCCTTAGCCCTGGTTCCAGCGCTACGCTCAGCATGAAAACAGATTTCCTCTGAAAGTTAAATATGTCCTACTTCAATGCCACCAATTACATGATGACATTGATTGTGAGACCTATAATTTCAGAGATAGAAGAGGAAAAGTTACATATATATACACACTCAGAAGTATATTACATACCGATATATGCATGTTATATATATGTGTGTGTGTGCATGCATAGCTTATATGTGTATGTTTTAATGTATGTCTTAGAACCAACTGAAGAAAATATGAAATATACTATCAGATTTGAAGAGAGGATTTTGATTTCTGTCTGCTTTCCCTATGTTACCAGCAACAAAAGAAAGAAAAAAAAATGAACATTTGAGAACTTTAAAGTATTGTCGGAAATCTGACACAAAGGCCCAAGGAGGAAGTACCTTGGTGTGGAGCCCAAATGGTGCCAGTGGAAGGGTAAATAAGCAGATCAGAAACCCTCGGAAATGTGACAAAATGACTACGGAACCATTCATTCCTAAATTTAAACTGAGCAAGTATGTATGTGTCAGGCACCACACCAAAGACCAACAACGTTCCTGTGAATAAAATCAGACAGCATCCTTGCTTTTAAGAAACACTGTCTTGTGGTTCAGGCAGAGTTGATTAAACAATCATAAATATAAATACATCATTACAAACTGAGATAGGTGACACAAAGGAAAGGAACAGGAGTTAGGAGCATATATAGAAAAAATAAAACATAGCCTAGACTGGGGAAAAGCAGGCAACATAATCCTTAGGCAATAGTATTTGAATTGATAAGGAAATAATACGGGAAAGAAAATGGAGTGCTGTTTCCAGACTAAGGGAACAGCATATGACATGGGAAAAAAAAATTGGCCCCTTCCAGGAACTGAGAAAATGCATAGTGATAGAGAGCCAGAGAAGGAGAGGGCAGAAGCCACACTATATGGAACCTTGTAGGCAACCAAATATTAGTAAGATATAGGTTGGGAGGGAAATAGATATGGCGCATGAGAACAAACAATGTTACTGAAAGAGCTGATTCAAAACTGATGACAGTTTAAGCCCCAGTGATGAGAATGAAGATCAAGAAGACTGATGGATTCAAGAGATATTTAGAGAGTAGAAAGTCAATGGTATGTGTTAATGAATTGAATAGTGTCATGGGAGTGGAAATAAATTTTCTAACTTTGTATACCTGGCTGTCTTTCACCAAGACTAGGTAAACTGGAAGAGACTCTGTTTGGGAAGAGATGAGCAGAATATGGTGTGATGTAAATGTTATGAGTTCAGCTTCAGAAATGTTGAGTTTGAGATACCCTTAAGAGGTCCAAGCAAAAATGTTGATCAGGAAATTGAATATGGGTATGAAGCTTAAAGGAGTGTCTAGGCCAGAAAAAGGGTCTAGGATTGACCCCAGATAGATACGGGACTAGCTGACAAGGTAAAAGGGCCTTGGACCTCTCTTATTTCCTTAACTTTAGCAACTAATATAGTTGTTCTCAATTTATAGGGTGCCTCTAGCTCTTGGAGCTGAGGAAATCTTGGTTCTACTTGAACTGAAAAGATGTATTCATAATATCCCATATTTGAATTCTGGATATGTTTTTCAAAGAAACATAATATTTTGCTTCTACTAAACCAGTATTTCATTCTCATATTTTCCAGGAGGAAAACATTTGGGGTGGGTGGTGGCAAACCATGAATAATTAAAGAAAAGTCCTTCTGAGTCCCAATAACTCCCTTACAGTTTGGAAGATTTGCAAATATAAATGAAATATAATCTAGCTATAAGCTTGAGATTGCCTATATTGTTAATTATGAAACATTATAATGTTAAAATTACAGAAAGTTAAAGCATTCATACGCATTTAAAAAATATTAACAGTTACTCAGTTCAGCAACTTCATTAAGATAACCTTATGAGTTTGTGTTTCCTATTCTACAGATTATACTATGTAGAAATTCTGTGCAGACTAGAAATTTATAACATGTTAAAACAGTATTTAGAATACAGTGAATGTATCGTTATTAATACATTGTTTTGAAATAGTTATATCAATTTTGTATTTGAAGAATAAATATGCATATGCATACAGCTCTCCATCTTGAGAAAATATTTAAAAATAATGTAAGCACTAGAAAATTACTCTTGTATACGTTTTTTTATTTTTTATTTTTTAGAGACGCTCTGTTGCCCAGGCTGGAGTGTAGCGATGCAATCATAGCTCACTGCAACCTGGAACTCCTGGGCTCAAGGGATCCTTCCGCCCGGGCCTCCAAAAGTGCTGGGATTACAGGCATGAGCCATTGCCCCCTGTCCTCTTCTCCTACACCTTTTTCTATCTTGCCTGTTTTTGGTCAGCTGTGACCAGGTAGAAAGAACATTAATAGCTCTGTGCTGCCCTCTAGTGGTAGGTAGAGAATATAGTCAATGAGAAAATTTTGCCTTTTAATACTTCTTTCAATGAAATTCTAAGAAAAAGTAGATATTATAAGAATAATTCCTTAATTTGCTATCACTGACAGAAGACAAAGAGTCATTCAGCACCACTGCTATCAATTTATTACTCTAACTCCAAATAGTTTTCATCGTAATAAACAAGCACAAATTCATGCTTATCTTAAAAGCAAATTCTTAGCTTAGGCGCGGTAGCTCACGCCTGTAATCCCAGCACTTGGCGATGCTGAGGCAGATGGATAACCTGAAGTCAGGAGTTCGAGACTAGCCTGGCCAACATGGTGAAACTCCGTCTCTACTAAAAATACAAAAATTAGTTAGGTGTGTTGGCACGCACCTGTAATCCCAGCTACTCGGGAAGCTGAGGTGGGAGAATCGCTTGAACCTGGGAGGTGGAGGTTGCAGTGAGCCGAGATTGTGCCACTGCACTCCAGCCTGGGCAACAGAGTGAGACTCTATCTCAAAAAAAAAAAAAAAAAAAAAAAAAAAAAAAAAAAGAAAAAAAAGCAAGCAAATTCTTATCATTTGTTAGGTACCTTGATCTATTATTGCGTTATATCAAGGGTAGTTTAAGAAATGCCTTAGCTATATTGAACACACACACACGCCCCTCTCAGCTTTAACACTAAAGAAACACCTCGGCCGGGCGCGGTGGCTCACGCCTGTAATCCCAGCACTTTGGGAGGCCGAGGTGGGCGGATCACGAGGTCAGGAGCTAGGAGACCATCCTGGCTAACACGGTGAAACCCCATCTCTACTAAAAATACAAAAATTAGCCAGGCCTGGTGGCGGGCGCCTGTAGTCCCAGCTACTCTGGAGGCTGAGGTAGGAGAACGGCGTGAACCCGGGAGGCGGAGCTTGCAGTGAGCCGAGATCGCGCCACTGCACTCCAGCCTGGGCGACAGAGCAAGACTCCGTCTGAAAGAAAAGAAAAAAAAAAAAAAAAAAAGAAACACCTCAATTCTTGGAAGAAAAAAATTCAATTTTTGGTTTGTTTGGATTTGTTTAAATTTAGTTTTTAAATATGTTGATTAATAAATTTAATAGCCAAAAAATTATATCATTAAACTTATTAAATAATACTTTTTTTGAGACAGGGTCTCACTCTGTCATCCAGGCTAGAGTGCAGTGGCACGATCACACCTCACTGCTCTTGATCTTCAGGGTTCAAGCAATACTCCCACCTCAGCCTCCAAGTACCTGGGACTACTGGCAGGCGCCTCCACACCCGGCTGATTTTTTTTATTTTTAATAGAGTTCAAGTCTCTCTACGTTGCCCAGGCTGGTCTCAAACTCCTGAGCTCAAGCAATCTTCCTGCCTCTGCCTCCCCAAAGCTAGGATTACAGGCATCAGCCACCATGCCTGGCCTATATGACACTTAGAAAATACATTTAAAACAGGCCTTATTATCTGAACAACCGTAAAGCAATTGAAATTACTACAACTATTTTGGAAGTTATTGGTAAAATGGAATTTTTCCCTAACAAGACAAAAAAATCCAGCTGAAAAGATAAACTGCTTGGTAAACAAGTGTTTGCAGTGGTGGGGGACGGATGGGGCAGTGGGTAAAAGTAGTAGGACTATTTACTTAACCAAACAACAAGAACAAAATAAGAAGATCCTTTCTCTTGCTAATCACTTGATATTAATAGAATATTTTATTAATTCTTAATTATTAATTTTATTAAATTCTTTATATCTGATATCTCTCCAAAATCAAATGGAGGCAATCAAATGGAGAATATTTTATTTTATTAATTATTAATATAATTTTATTAAATTCTTTATATCTGATATCTCTCCAAAATAAAGTGGACGCAATTTTCAAAAAATGACACATAATCACTTTAGTAAAACAGAAACAGCAAATGAAATCCAAGAAGAATGAGAATTCAAATATAGTAACCAGTTTGTTAAATTGCTGGGGTTGTGCTTCAAATTTGGGTCTCAGCTTCCTACCAACCAAAGTGAAAGGGAGCTCATTATATAACATATTTCTTACATTGAAGAGGAGAGTAAGACTTTCTAATTCCTAAAAAAAGACAATTTCTGGTTTTAACGAGTGATAAAACTCATTAGCTCAACAAGAACTGCAAATTCAGAAATTAGTACATTTTGTTTGCTGTTTCTGTTTTGTTTTGCATTTAGTAGAGGCTAAATGAATGTAATTAAAGTTCTACTGATCCAACTTAATTTAAAAACTCAAAGTAGTAGAAAGATAACATGTCATCAAATATAATTTCTCTCAATCAGATACAGGATAAAAGTTGAACAACACGTAATTTAAAAATAATAACCTTATCTTACAGTCAGAAATATCTATTATTTTCATATAAGAATAACCTATTTATTTCTTAGTTTAAAGCTCCTTGAGGGCAACAGTCTTATCTCCTAGTTCCTTTGTATTTTTCACTGAGGTATGGTCACAGTGGATATAAATTCACTAATAAAGAAGAAAAAATAAACTTCACCACTGGTAGGTCTTATTGTTTGTATTTTTGGTGGGTAGGGGACATATTTTTACCTTATAACAGTCTCCTCCAGGAATAATTTCCTGAATATATACCAATGGGCCTTCATTCCGGTTAATTCCTCCTAGTATCTTCAGGCCAAGGCCTGTTTCCTTGGTAATTGTAATCACCTGAAAGGCAGGATCCCTAAGATAAAGTAAATTAGCACACACAGGTTAGTCTAGAGATCTGCACCTATTTTTTTCTTTAAACTACTTATTAAATCAAATTCTTAGATCTAGACCAGCGGCCCCTAACCTTTTTCGGCACCAGGGACTTATTTCGTGGAAGACAATTTTTCCATGGGAGGTGGAGAGGGGATGGGGGTGCAAAGAGGCGATGGTTTCGGGATGATTCAAATGCACTACATTTATTGTGCACTTTATTATTACATTGTAACATATAATAAAATAATTATATAACTAACAATAATGTAGAATCGGGGGAGCCCTGAGCTTGTTTTCCTGCAACTAGACAGTCCCATCTGGAGGTGAGGGGAGACAGTGACAGATCATCAGCCACTAGATTCTCATAAGGAGCACGCAAGCTAGATCCCTCACATGCACAGTTCACAAAAGGGTTCGTGCTGCTACGAGAATTGAATGTCACCACTGATCTGACAGGAGGCAGAGCTCAGGCAGTAATGCTCGCTTGCCCTCAGCTCACCTCCTGCTGTGTGGCCTGGTTCCTAACAGACTACAGACCACTACCAGTCTGCTGCCCAGGGGTTAGGGACCCCTGATCCAGACAACCTAAAATACTTAGTACTTACTAGCAATGACATTTTTAGAAGTATGGTGACATAACAGCAATTAAACGAGTTTGCTTGCCTATTATCTACAAAACCAAAACACAAAAGAATTTACAATGATAATGCTTATTTCTTTGGAGTAGAACAAAAATTTATTAAAGGTGATGGAAAAGATTTGCTTTTACCTGGTTATTAGACTACCTGAAGAATTCCAAAACTAAATATTTTAAGTAAGTAGCTTTAAAAGACATGCCTGTGGCCATTTAAAGCAAAGTTAATGTGACTTCCATTTGAATCTCAAAATTTATCTTTTTAATTTAGAAAGAATATTTTCTTGGTACAAAGTACTTGTTTCAACTGTAATTTCTGCCAGACATAAAAGCAATGCCATTTGAAAAGAAGGGACTGTAAAAAAAGTCCTGCAAAAGGAATATCCAAGTTGCATTTCTGAATACCTAGGTCAGACCAGAGACTTTCACTGGTCAAACAAAACTTGAATTAAGTTTGAAATAAGACTGAGGGCTGCCTGCTTACTTATTATGTACTGAGTACTGTGCTAAACAATACCTAAATAATGACATTTAATTTAATATTTATAAAATCCTTAAGATTCTTATCCTTATTTTTTTAAAGGACCCAAAATTCAGGTAGGTTAACTTGATGGCCCAAGAGTGAGCCCAGTCAGTCTTACCTCAGAGGCAAAATGTGATATGTAATCTACTTTGTTGTTGTATTAGAGCCACTGTTGAATATAGGACTTCCAGCTATCTTCAAAAACATCGAATAACTGAAACTACTATTAAAAAAAGAGTTACTTCATATCTTACATGATTATAGTTTTTAGAAAAAGCTTTCTTAGCTTCCACCATAGAAATTCTAAGAATATCTTTAAGAAAACTGTTGCATTCAAAAAAATAATTTCTAAAAAGAAGAAAGAAAAATTTTTAAAAAGGATATAGCACTCCCTGTTTTTGATATTTTGCTCTCCATGTATAACATCATTTAGAGCTGTATTACAGGTATACTGAATTCAGCTCTAATTTGGGAAGGTCTCTCTGGTTTCTAGGGCAATAGTCAGTCAGCTAGAAAACAGGCAGAGAGGACAGGGTCCAAGGGTCCAAATGCACCCTAAATTCATTCATTCTTTTTTTTTTTTTGAGACGGGGTCTTGCTCTGTCCCAGCTGGAGTGCAGTGGTGTGATCTCGGCTTACTGCAACCTCTACCTCCCAGGTTAAGTGACTCTCCCACCTCAGCCTCCTGAATAGCTGGGATTACAGGTATGTGCCACCACACCCAGCTAATTGTTGGTATTTTTGGTAGAGACAGGGTTTCACCATGTTGGCCAGGCTGTTCTCAAACTCCTGACCTCAAGTGATCCGCCCCCTCAGCCTCCTAAAGTGCTGGGATTACAGGCATGAGGCACTGCCCCTGGCCAATAAACCCATTCTTTACGGGATAGTAGATTGCAAAAACATAAATGAGTAAAGCCTAGAAATGAAAGAGAAGGTAAGAAAGGGAAGTAAGGTGCCTTATTAGATCTCTCCACTAACTCTTAAACCCTCCAAATGTGAATGTCCTTCACTGGGGGCACAATAATCTCCAGCATATATTATTGTTTCAGTGCAGGATCTTACTTTTCTAATTCTAACAAAGCGTTATTAGCACAGCAGTTTAGTGCTGTTAGTATTTTTTCTCTATAAATCTATCCATATATTTTCTGAATTAATATCCATATATTTTCTGAATTGCTATCTTACTACTTAAACAGTTTTAGATCTTATTTTTTTTCTTACGCAGAATTATTATAAGCAATGTCTATGTTGTTAAAAGTTCTTCTTAAACATAAATTTATATGTTCATGGCAGCATAAAATTTACATACACGACTAGGACCTTATTTTAAAACTCTTCTATTGTTAAGATTTTAGATTATATACTTTTTTCCTATTAAATATTAAAATAGTTCTGCTAAACTTTACTCATAATAAGAGAATTACAAGTTAAAACTGCAGAGATACTACTACTCACCTACCAGACCAATGAAAATTTAAAACTTCAACAACATACTCTGATGACAAAGCTATGGGAAACAGGCATTTTTGCACACTGCTGATGGGAATGCAAAATGGTACAACTTCTAAAGAGATAAATTGGTAACCTCTAACAAAAAAAACCCTCTGGTCCAGCAATTCCATTTCTAGGAATCTATCCCAAAAATACTCTGGCAAAAAATAGAAAATGACTTATCTGCTAGGTTATTCATTTTGGCATAATTTGTATTCACCAGAAATTGCAAACAATACAAAGGTCCATCCATAAGGTACTGGCTGAATAAACCATAGTACATTCACACCATAGAATATTATGCAGTTATAACAAAAAACAAGGAAGATTTCTATTAACTGATATGAAGGGATCACCAGGATATACATTAAAACAAAAAGGCAAGGTCAAAACAGTACACATGATACCTTTTACTTAAGAATATTCTGGGGAGCGGAATCCAAATATATATAATTATCATGTGTACATATATTATATATGTGTATATTTATTTTTATATATATGCATTGGCTTAAACAAAAGGAAGCACTACAAAAGGACCAAGAATAAAAACAACTTTTTATAGAGAGAATGAGGGCACACAGTGAAGACTAGACTAAGAGCAAGATTTTTTTAAATATACCTTGTTAAAGGTATGTTTTATGTTTTCAAAATGGCCACCAATTCCTCCCATTCCTGTCTGCATGCATCTTGGTAATGTGACTTTACTGCTTCCTTTCATTAAAAGCTAAGTCTAGGCCGGGCACAGTGGCTCACGCCTGTAATCCCAGCACTTTGGGAGGCCGAGGCGGGCAGATCATGAGGTCAGGAGATCAATACCATCCTGGTTGACACGGTGAAACCCCATCTCTACTAAAAATACAAAGAAATTAGCCGGGCATGGTGGTGGGCACCTGTAGTCCCAGTTACTTGGGAGGCTGAGGCAGGAGAATGGCATGAACCCGGAAGGCAGAGCTTGCAGTGAGCTGAGATTATGCCACTGCACTCAAGCCTGGGCAACACAGCCAGACTCCGTCTCAAAAAAAAAAAAAAAAAAAAAAAGAAAAAAGCTAAGTCTATATCTCCACTCCTTGAATTTTTACTTGGTCATTTAAATTGCTTTGGCCAATGAGATACCAGCAAATGTGAGGAAAATGGATATTTGGAAAACACCTGTGCTTCTGCCACCAGGCAAAAAGCTTGAGCCAGCCTCCGGAAGAATGACAGACTAGTTCTAAAGAGACCTCAGCCATTCAGCCTTCCTAGCTGAGGCCTCACAAGATGTAAATGAGGCCATCCTACATTATCTGGAATAGAGCAGAACTGCTCAACCAACCCACTGAATCATGAGAAAGAATAAATGCTTATTGTTTTAAGGGACTTTAGGGTGGTTTGTTAGTCACCAATAGTTAATCTTATCAAAATTTTTAACAGAATTATAGAATATTCTAGATATTAAAAAGTCAAAATTTAAAAAAGAAATCTCAGAAGAGTTTTTAAAAATGAATTTTATAATTGTTTATTTTTTATTATTTTTAGAGACAGAGTCTTGCTCTGTTGCCCAGCTGGAGTCCAGCGACTATTAACAGGTGCAATCACAGCATACTACAGCCTCAAACTCCCAATCTCCCGAGCAGCTGGGACTACAGGCATGCCCTACAGGCATGCCCTACTGTGCCTTGTACAGATGACTTTAAAGAGAATGCAGATTTTGTTCTATACACTGATTTACACTGAAAGGTAATTCAATGTATTACTTTACTTACTACTCATTACTGCTATCCTAGACCACATTAGACAGCTAGATGTAAAAAACTTTTAATCAAATGTTCATTAGTAGTTTACATATTTCAAACTATATTTCAAAATGTATTAAATTTAAAAGTTACTTTTCAAGTAGACTGGATGGTACTACAGTAGATGTATTTTTATTCATGCTTTCACCAAAGTAGCTTTGGATTTAACAGCTGTATAAACGAAGATCTTGATGAAGAGTCTAGAAATTCTTCTTTTCCTAGGATTGAAGAAGTAGAAATTAAATTGTCAGGTCTTAGAACTGTCAAATTTGATTCCAACTGTTCGTAAAAACATTATATACACTTGGCACATAAATAATATAAGCCTGTGTATAGATGTTAGATGTATGTATTTTGAGTTATGGCATTTTAGTCACTGACAATAACATCAGAGAAGTGTAAAGACAACTCATTAGATAGATAGATACATGTTTATATCATTATGAATATCCATATCTATATAAAATCTTCATTCTCTGGCAAAAGTGAAGAATACAGCTAAGCTTTAGGTAACTATTACAACTTCCACCCTTGGTAAGCTTAAAAATCACATAATAGTTAAAGATTGAGGAAAATGTCTCCGGCGAGCACAAGGCTATGAAGCTTATAGTCAGAAAAGTAATTATCCAATGCATTTGAAAAAAACTAAATTCTTATTATCTTACCAACTATCTTGAGGCACTTCCTGCAGATCCTATATTACTCTGACTAATATTATTCCAGGAACTTCTTAAATGGCTTTCCTATGAAGAGAAAAAAAATATGCTTTTAATGTCTTATATTGTTCCACTGTGAAAATTACAGAGAATAGTGCAGTTTCATTGAATTAAAACAAACTGTATTTGAACAGAGATTTACCACCTTTTCATAAGAAAAATGAATGAAGCAAAGGAACTTAAAGTTGACAAAGACACTAGGATCATTTAGTACAACTCTCTTCCTGAAGAAATGAAGAGCTAGATTCTGAGACTGTGTGGTTTTCCCTCACAAATGAAAAATAGTGTTTTTTTTTATCTTCTTCTCCTCCTAACTAGAACTCAGGTTATAGTCTACAGGATGGACCTTGAGATCTGATAGGCCTGGGTTCTCATTTGAAAGTTCGGGCTTCTCCAAGCCTCGGTTTCCACAAAGGTACAGTGGGTGCCTTGATTGTGGTGATTTCACAAATGGACACACATGTCAAATGTAACAAACTGTCTCACTTTAAATACCTGCTGTTTGTTGTAAATCAATTATAGCTTAACAAAGTTAAACTTTAAAAAACCCGATTTGGCCGGGCGCGGTGGCTCACGCCTGTAATCCCAGCACTTTGGGAGGCCGAGGCGGGCGGATCACAAGGTCAGGAGATCGAGACCACGGTGAAACCCCGTCTCTACTAAAAATACAAAAAATTAGCCGGCCGGTGGCGGCGCCTGTAGTCCCAGCTACTCAGGAGGCTGAGGCAGAGAATGGCGTAAACCCAGGAGGCGGAGCTTGCAGTGAGCCGAGATCGCGCCACTGCACTCCAGCCTGGGCGACAGAGCGAGACTCCGTCTCAAAAAACAAAACAAAACAAAACAAAATAATAAAATAAAATAAAAAACCCGATTTTCAGTTAAAAATGGCATCTTGACCTTGGCACGTATCTTCTTTCCCTCCCAACAGCCAACTAATATGAAAGTCTTAGGGTAAAGAGTTACAAACAGTATAAACTCAGAATGTTGAAGAGTAAATGGGAAAAGAGCCATTGGATGAAAATTAAGTTTCTGGAAGATAAAAAATAGATGGTTGGGTGACAATTGGTAAGAGGGCTGAAGAAGCTAAGATTTAGGGCAGTGCTTCTTAAACATTTTTTAAGTCTGAGCACACACATAATGGTAATATTTGTATGGCATACTAAGCTAAAGAAAGGTGATATCCTCTGAAAAGCAGCACATCAGCAACTGACTCACAACAAAATTCTGGCCTAGGAAACAGGTGCAGGAGGAATGTATCTTAAAGAATCCCAGAGAAACTGAGGACTCAGAAACAAAAAGTTCTAGGCAGAACAAAACTGAGAGATTGAGGACTAAAATCAAGAGGATCATCCTATCTTTTCTTCAACCACTGTATGCAGAAGAAATGAACTGAATGGGCCCCAAACACAAAACAACTACTTTTGAGAACCTAACATAGCGATATATTCACTGGTCTGGGTGGTAAAAACACATTTTGACTTCACAGCCTCTGTAGTAGCAAGCGACAGGAACCATGGAAGCATGCAGATCAACAATAGCCAGAGACATGAAGCCACCAAGCCACAATGTCGGTAGCAAAAGTCCAATGACCATGAAGTAAGAAAGTTATTCAGTACCCATGAGGAAAAGAAGGGCCACCTGAGGGAGGAGCTTACAATCCTTGGGCTTTGACTAGCAGTCACTCAGAGTCAAGAGCCACCGCAGCTGTCCACAAGACTGATATAGCCATGGAAGAGAGTTCAATTCTAAAACCAAGTTTGCATAAGTTCATTATACACTGCTTTAATAATGCATGCATGGAGCAGATTCTCAAACCTCAAGAGAGGTCATTCTCATATAACAATAATAACAGTAACTACCATTAATTGGCACTGTGTTTCACATACTATGTATTCCAAATGTATTTATTTAATATTGTGGAAAATGTACTAGACCTAAGTTAAAAAAAGAAAAGAAAAGAGAAGAAAAGAAATGCAGAGTTCAAATGGCAATATTGCCATGTGTTAGTAATATGGCATTAGAAAAACTGCCTAACCTCTTAGCATCTCCTCATATTAAGTAAGGTAGGAATAGTAGCACCTTGCTCAAAAACAGATGTGAAAAATTGAGCAGTGTTTCTACTGGTACCAAAGTGAGTAAGATCCTCATCTTTGGTGAGTTGTTCTAACTGGACACAGGTCCCCAGGTCCCCTGGGAACATATCCAAGTCTAATGATGTATAAATGCTACTGTACAACACATTCCATATAATATACTTAACAAGACATTTTAAAACATTTCTATTTTAAGGTGCAAAATAAAATTTAGGTGTTTATTCCATTCACTTAACATGTTGGCAGTGTCCTAAGTGCTAGAGATGAGATGAGATCAGGAGGGGCGAAGTGCTCTGACAGCAGTATACACAGGGAGTATGGAGAAAGGCTGCGTAACCTGGGATCTAAGTCATCATTAAACACCAATACAGCCAGGCGCCATGTCACAGGATTTTCTTCCCACAAGAACCCCACAAGGGAGGTATTATTAACCCAATTTTATACAAAAGAAAAATAAGTCATATAGAAAGTATGTGACTTGTCCATTGTCACAGGCTAGTTGTAAAGTAGAGTTTGAATCCTGCTCTTTCTTGCTCCAAACCCAAGCTGTTTCTACTACAGTATGGTGGAAAATTAATTCAGGTAAAAATCTTGATTCACCAAAAAAGTAGAATGAGAGAGTAAGAGTAGTAATGTGTTATCTCTTTTATATAAAGATGACACTACTGATTAAACAGAAGTGGGTTTAATCTTATGCATCCCAACAGTGGGCTTATTTTTTGTATTAACAAGGTATTCATTGTCATGTCCTTAAATATCATAACATGCCTGTCCTTTCCCTCTCCTTTGCCTGCTTCCTACTCTTTCTTTATACAAGCTTGCAAGGCCCTCAACCAACAGGGATTCTAGTAATGTTACATACACACCACACACACACACACACACACACACACACACACACACACGCCACCCTCAAGTTCCCATAATTAATAAATAACACAGAAGGAAAACATTCTGTTCTTTTACTAAAAATATGCACATTGAAGACAAATATATTGTTATTCTAGTTTGGTGAATCATAAGAGGGAAACAGTTAGGTCAGCAAAAACAGAGAAAGTAGAACATTGGAGAAAAAAAAATCTTGTTGTATAAGATGAATCTATTCCAGAAAACTTAAATTAGAGCTTTTCTTTGATAAATCTGTTTACTTATGATCTCATTAAAACAATCTTCATCCCATATAATTAGAAATCTCATCAGATAAAAAAAAAAAATCTGCCCATAACGCATATGGTGTTTGAGTAAGACTTAGTAATTTATATTCTCAGACATGGTATTCAATAAAAGCAGTTCTTTTCACTGGACAAAAAATAGAGAAAATAAAAGGGATAAAAATATCTTCTGCCAGAAATTATAGTAAATATTAATTTAATGAAATTACAAAAATGCCATAATGAAATTGATAGAAATTGCCAAATGTCCCTCAGTCAGGGTTGTACTAATTTACTATCTCACCAACAATAGTGCCTGTTACTCTGAATTTTCTCCACTATGGTATACTAAATAACTTTTGGATTTTTGTCAGTCTTATTGATGAAAATGGTATCTCAAGGTGGTTGGAGTGAAGCTGAAGAGTTTTTTATGCTTTAAGAACCATTCAGTATCTTCTTTTATGTGAACTGTGTTTTTTTTTTAACACCTTTTGCCAATTCTTCTATTTATTGTTAGGTCTTTTTCTGTTCAGTTTCTAGGAGTTCTTAAATCTTACAGAAATTCTCTATCAGCACTAAGAATTGCAAATATATCCCCCGCCCCCAACACTTTTCTTCTGGGTTATAGGCTTTTTGTTACGCAAAAGTTTGTGGCTAACTTTATGAATCTTTTATGATTTCCAGGTTTTAGGTCAAATTAGAAACTCCTTGCCCACTCCAAAGTTATAAAGAATTCTCTCATATTTTCTTCTAGTACTCTTATGGTTTCATTTTTAAATATTTGATCCATTTGGAATCCATCGTAATATAAAGTACAAATCCAACTCATATTTTTCCCAAGAAGACCACCCCATTGTCTCAACCACATTTATTAAATAACCCATCTTTTCCCCACCATTTTGAGATACAACTTTCATCATATACAAAATCTCTTAAGGGTTTGGGTCTACTTCTGTAATTTTTATTCTGGGCCTTTGGTTAGTCTGTTTATTTGTACACCAATGCCATTCTATTTTAATTACAGAGGCATTATCATATCTAGTAAGGCCAATCACCTCTCATTTGTTCTTTTGTTAACCAAGTTTCCCGGTTGTTTTTGGTTATTTATTTTTACACATTAAATTCAAAGTATTCTTATCTTGTTTAAAAAACAAAACAATGCTATTTGTAAGGGAATCATACTAAATTTACAAATTAATTGAAGACATATTGTTATCTATGATGTTATTTTGAGTCTTCCTATCCAAGAATTTGGTATCACTTTCCATTTGTTCAAATCTTCTTTTGTGATCTTCTATAGCAGGGGTGGCCAATCTTTTGGCTTCCCCAGGCCACACTGGAGGAAGAAGAATTATCTTAGGCTACACACAAAATACACTAACACTAATGATAGCTGATGAGCTTAAAAACAAATTAACAACAACAACAACAATGCAAAAAACCTCATGTTTTAAGAAAGTTTATGAATTTGCGTTGGAACACATTTAAAGCTGTCCTGGGCTCCATGCAGCCCATGGGCCACAGGTGGGACAAGCTTGTTTCTATGGTGTTTTAAAGTTGCCTTCACAGTGACCTTGTGAGGCAGGAGAATAGAGTTTGGAGGCAGGGAGCCTAAGGCTGATTGGTGCTGACTTCCTAGAACTGAATCAAAAGGAAAACCCTACCTTTCCAAAAGGATCAGAGGCTACTCCCTTTGCATTGCCTGGCAGATGAAAAATGGAAAGTACTTCTGATTGGTTGCAGGTCACTCCTTCATTTACATAGGGTGCAACCAAGTAAACAA